TGATTAGCAGAATATCTTAAGTTTAGATATGTCCTAACTGAACAAACTAGAAAGATCCAGTCTAACTTAAGCTATATTAAGCCAGTATAAAACATTCTATCTAATTCACTTCTCAGAGGCTCTATGCTTTTGATGAACTAACAATTGGTAAATTGACCCATTATTCTATTTATTTATCAACAATAATATAGTAAGAAAGTTATTTTCAGCCTGTAAAGCATACCGCCAATAACAATATACTACATGTTTCTCTTATGTTTTATGGAATAACTTCCCTTTTGTTTCTATAACCTTTTGCTCATGGATAATTTGTTTATTATTGTTATTGCTTTATAGTTCGTAATATATATACTGAATAAATTGTATTATATTGTTATATAAAAGCAGACAATATTCTTTTACATAATACAGACAAACACTGTCAACCACCTTTCTATGAAAAATGACAAAAATCAGTTATTTGTCAATTTTGAAATAAGTATAATATGATCAATATAAATATCTTCATAACAATGTTTTTATTTGATAAGCATTATATTAATAACCAAACGTCAAGTTTAAATATGTCATTCATAAACGAAAAATAATTTAAATAATCCACTATTACACTTCTTTAAATGTGTTTTACAAATCTTTTTTTTTCTATCAAATAGGTGAATTTTATTATATTATACAGACAGATGACCTATCACAAATAAATGACTGATGAGGTCAGAATAGAAAAATGATTTCCCTTCAAAAAATATAATAAAAACAGGCTTTCTTTATTTTTTCTAAACTGTCCTTGTCAAATGATGCAGAAGCGTCGAGGGCATACCAAACAGCATCTTGCGATGCAATTTGATGTATAATTATAAACTGTATACACTGACCAGAATTATTTTCATTATCATGATTGTTATATAGTTTTTCATAAAATTCATATATTTCTTGTAATATTTCAGGCTGGTCTTTTATAACTTCACAATGTTTCTTTTTCCAGTTTTTAAATAGTCTTACTTAGATAATTGTGATTCTCCGGATTACAAAAATAGAGGGTTTTTCTCCTTCCTCAATCCATTTACTTTTTGATCTCAGTATAATGTCCTTTAAGTTTTTCTTCTCTTAAGGAGTTCCATTGTTGTTTTAATTGGAATAATTAATCTAAGTTTTCATTATTTAACTCATTCTTTAAACTTAAGACTGAATTTTATTTGTTATTTCAGATTCTAAAATAGATTTCTTTTTTTTACAAAAGTTACATATGATAATGACTGTCCTCGTAATTCTCCAAAAATAATTGATAATTTATAACAAATTGTATTTCAGCATTAGGTACATTATTTATGTTATCTGAATTATAGACAGGTAGGCATTATTGTTGTTTTATATCATTAAATGTTTGTTAATGGAGGCTATGTAATCAATATCATTTAAGTATGCATTGTTATGATTTCATAACCAGTTTCCATGAGAAATATCTGAAAAAAGAATGATCTGATTGATAACTTGCTTTAATTTCACAGTTTGCTATGTTAGGGACCAGGTCTTCAGTAACAAGGAAAAAATCAATTATTGCTTGTTGTACTGGGTTACATCTTCTCCATGTATATCTTTTTACACTTGGAAAGAAATCTCTAAATGGATCAATAAGCAGGCGTTCAGTAATATAGTTTAGTAAGTTTTCCCAAGCTTTTTATTATTTATTCTTAAATAATTATAGTAATCAACTTCTGGATTTAAAACTCATTTCAAATCACCACATATTATGTATTTATCATTATTTAGACCATCTATTGTTTCAAAAACGTTTTCATAAAAATATGGACTGTCATTATTTGTTCCATACAGATTTACAAGAATTAGCCTATTGTTTTTAATTGTAACATCTAATGCAATAAAGTTACTATATCATCATTTATTTTTTTGTGGATTTCAAATTTCAAATTTTTATTAAACAAAATAGATACAACTCTAGCATTAGACTAAGAAAAACTAAATAGACAGTCTTCACTCTACTGAGCATAAACAACTTTTTCCTACTTTTTTGTAAAATGTGTATACCGAAAGTAATAAATATGGTGTTTTTGATCCTTTAAAAAGATAAATTCATCAATGCGTTTCTTGTTATCATTCAGGCCACGACAATAAAGGGATTAAATACTTAGTTCATACATATTACTAAAATGAAATGTTCAAAGCCATTGAAATCTTCTGAATTTCAAAATTTTTAAAATATTTATGAAATAAGATATTATTTAATATTTAAAATCTTTTATTTTATAAATTCGCCTTTGTTCACATTTTCATTAAGATCTTATCAATTAAATTATATTTAGTTTGGTCTGAAATACATCAATATAAGAGTAAAGTGTCAAAAATCACACGGCAGATTGGTGTTCTCTTAGAGAGACTATATTTAGTGCCTGTATCGACCCAAGGGTAAATAACCATTCGCAAGGTTGATGCTAAAAAAAAGGAGTAATGACAATTCTATTTTGTAGAAGAGGGTAACAGTTTT